TAGCAGGTGCCTGTAGTCCCAGCTACTTGGGAGGCTGAGGCAAGAGAATCACCTAAGCCCAGGAGTTGGAGGTTGCTGTGAGCTATAATGTCATAGTACTCTACTGAGGGCAATAAAGTGAGATTCTGTCTCTAAAAAAAAGTCTAAATTTTTCAATATTTACATGAACTACTTTATACTTATATTCTTTGCTTACTGATTTTTAGTGTTCAATTTTTTTTGTGAATGTATTTTCCATCTGAAGTATCATCTCTATCATTATTAATCACTGCTTTGGTAGTTTATAGGTTTCACCAAATTGAACCACAAAATAATCTAATGTCTATCTACTTACATTGTTAATAAAGGGTTTGTTCCTACTTGAAATTTTCCCCAAGCACTACTCTTAGAAAGAATGTTGACCCAACTCCATTTTACAGCATGTCAAATACATTAACAGATGGTATCACAAAGTATATTTTATAGCCTCTCCCAAGATAGAAATTTTATCTATCCTCTAACAATCTTAATTCTTCCAGACCTATGTCAAACAGTAGGGATTTCTCTCTTAACAATTAAATTCTGTAATTTTAAAGTATCCCTATCCAGGCGGCACCTGTGGCTCAGTGAGTAGGGCGCCAACCCCATATACCGAGGGTGTCAGGTTTGAACCCGGCCCCAGCCAAACTGCAACAACAAAAATAGCCATGCATTGTGGTGGGCGCCTATAGTCCCAGCTACTCAGGAGGCTGAGGCAAAAGAATCGCCTAAGCCCAAGAGCTAGAGGTTGCTTTGAGCTGTGACTTCACAACACTCTACCAAGGGCGACAAAGTAAAATTCTGTCTCAAAAAAAATAAAGTACTCCAATCCCTTTGATTAATTTCATTGCATTTAAATTTGACTTTATATGAAATCACTAACATATTATCTTTCTTCTTTTTGAGACAGAGTCTACCTATCACCCTTGGTAGAGTGCCATGGAGTCATAGTTCATAGCAACCTGAAACTCCTGTGATTCTCTTGCCTCAGCCTCCTGAGTAACTGGGCCTGCAGGTTCCCGCCAGTATGCCCAGCTATTTTTAGAGATGAGGCTCTCACTCTGGCTCAGGCTCCAACTCCTGAGCTCTAGCAATCTACTTGCTTCAGCCTCCCAGAGTGCTAGGATTACAGGCATGAGCCACTGCACCTGGCTCAATATGTAATCTCTTATACTAAAATATATATATGAACTAAGTTTTAATACTTTGGTAATTTGGTTCGGCGCTTGTAGCTCAGTGGCTTGGGCACCAGCCACATACACCAGAGCTGGCAGGTTCAAATCCAGCTCTGCTGCCAATGACAACTACAACCAAAAAATAGCCAGGCATTATAGCAGGCGCCTGTAGTACCAGCTACTTGGAAGGCTGAGGCAAAAGAATCGCTTAAGCCCAAGAGCTGGAGGTTGCTGTGAGCTGTGACACCACAGCACTCTGCTGAGGGTGACACAGTGACTTACTCTCAAAAAAGGAAAAAAAAATACTTTCAGTAATTTTGTATATTCAAAATTTATTATATTTAATTTATTTTTTCTTTTTTCTTTTCTTTTTTTTTTTTTTTGAGGCAGACTCTCAAGCTGTTGCCTTGGTAGAATGCCGTGGCGTCACAGCTCACCACAAACTCAAACTCTTGGGCTTAAGTGATTTTCTTGCTTCAGCCTCCCAAGTAGCTGGAGCTACAGGAAC